ATATTTATTTATTTAGAACCTCCGTTCTAAAAGCTTCGCCTACATTACTTCTTGAAACATTGATTTATAGCTGTTGGATCTCCAAGGTTCATCAGGTTCTAGGTCCTCTCATGGGTTCAGTTCAGCCATTATATCATACAGATATCTGTGTAAGTCGAGTTAATTAAGAGAATTGCAAATCCTTGAGGTTCTAGAACACACAGTAAGTTCTACACGGACTCCTTTGCAATCGATGTGCAGGTTAAGTTACGAACAGACTGTTTCTGTGTCTGTTGGTCGTTCCCCCTGCAGAAATAAACCTGTTTCCTTTGGTTCTGTGTGTCCTGCTCCACGGCTCACGGGGACTATTGGACTCAGACATTTGCGCCTCGCTTCTGCTGCGTCTATTTATCATTATTTTTTTTTCTTTTAAAGCTCTGTTAAACATTAGGATTTTTGTGTTCGCAGGCTGCTTCCTCACATTCGTGGAAATGTGGGCTTCGTGTTCACCAAGGAGGATCTGTGTGAGGTTCGGGATCTCCTGCTGGCGAACAAAGTGAGTGTCTTACCTCAAAACTGTTCTGAATAGGAGTTGCAGATCTGTGTCCAACCTCTTTCTTTCTGACTGTAGGTGCCAGCTGCTGCCCGCGCCGGTGCCATCGCTCCTTGTGAGGTGACAGTCCCTGCTCAGAACACTGGGCTGGGTCCTGAGAAGACCTCCTTCTTCCAGGCTTTGGGCATCACCACAAAAATCTCCAGAGGAACCATTGAGATCCTGGTGAGTGGCCCACTTGTACCTGAGTCCCCTGCTGGGTGTCACATGGTTTGCACCATTGGCTGGCGCATGTGTCGGGTCTAGCTTTTGTACGGAGACTGGTGTGGTTTGAACCACAGGATGGAGCTCATGGAGTCAAGGCAAGGTGTACACCTGGGCGTCTCCATGTTATTTACACGGCTCAATTATCTGCACGCTTTGATGGGTTTCCTTTTATTTTTTTGCGGCGTTTGAGTAGATGTTTATCATGCTCTGTTTTAGGATTAACATGTTGCAGGTAAAGTTACGAACAGACTGTTTCTGTGTCTGTTGGTCGTTCCCCCTGCAGAAATAAACCTGTCTCCTTTGGTTCTGTGTGTCCTGCTCCACGGCTCACGGGGACTATTGGACTCAGACACTCGTGCTGCACACGTGTGAGGAGATGCGTGTAAAAGACTATCTTCTTATGCAGAATGGCTAGCAAAGATCTCACTGAACGTCTGCAGGATCCTCCCGTGTTTGTAGCTGGAAGAGTTAGTTTCTTCTGAGGGCTTGAGCTTTGCTGGTGAATGCTGTTGCTTTCCAGCGGTGGATGGCAATGGCTAGCGTTGTCCATCACAAATAGCCACGTGGTTTTTGTGTAAACTCATTTATTGTGCAAAGTAATGCTACAGAGTGGCCATTAATAGATACTGTTATTATCCAGGTAATGACCTGTAGTGGGGGATAATGCATGGTGCGTCATTAGAGGGCCTCCCATAGCTGCGTCTAAATCTGCTTTTGCAGAGTGCTACCACACCTTGAATTTATTTCAAAAGTGATGTCATTGATGCAGCATAGAAACAAAGTTTGGAACTTTCTAAAGCAAATCTCCTGTTTCTGTTTGTGTGAAATCCAGGGAAGCTTGTCTCATCAGACTCGTGTTGCTGCTTGCAGCTGCGTTATAATGAAGTGGTTTCTCTTCATCAGAGCGACGTGCAGCTCATCAAAACTGGAGACAAGGTGGGCGCCAGTGAGGCCACGCTCCTGAACATGCTGAACATCTCGCCCTTCTCCTATGGGCTCATCATTCAGCAGGTGTATGATAACGGCAGCGTCTACAGCCCTGAGGTGCTTGACATCACTGAGGATGCTCTGCACAAGAGGTTCCTGGAGGTATGGCTTACGATACTCTGTAGAACTGTTTGAAATCACATAAAATGCAATAAAAACCCAATTAACTTGTTCTATGCTAACGTGAACACAGCCTCCGCTCCCAATGAACGTCCTGTGGAAACATTAGGATGCCATTTTACTAAACGCCTGAACCCAAATTGTTACGATAGTGCCCCCTTATGGCTTACTCTAATGCTCTGGTTTCTTTTGTTTAATGGGTGTTTACTAGGGGTGTAACGGTTCACGGGGATGTATTGAACCGTTTCGGTACGGCCTGTTCGGTTCGGTACACTTGCGTACCGTTTCGGTATTTTTATTAAATAGAAATCTAATATTAGCGCGATATTAAGCGCAGCGGAACAAAGTTCCTAGGTGAGTTTCTGCACGGACGCTATTGAGTGACGAGCGCGAGTAGGAAAGTGGCATGGCAAAGGCAAAAGGAAAGCCAGAGCTTGAAGACTCTCGTGTTTGAGAACACTTTGGCTTCTCTGTTAAAATGCATAACGGGGATAGACGAGTGGATAAATTTAAAGTTGTATGCCGACATTGTTCCACGGTGATCGGGCAGGCAACACATCTAACATTTTCTACTGCTGGAGATATTGTCACTGCAACCAGATCTGTGCTCTCTTCAGAAAATGTGGATAGGTTAATCTATCCTAACTAGTTGCAGTATTTCATTTTTTTATTTAAAAAAAAAAGTGTTCTTTATAAAGAGTGCAATTTATTTAAAATATCTCCCAAATGTCACTTATTTATTTTATGCAAGAATTCTACTGTGTATTGGCAGCTTTTCAAAATAAAGATTTTGTAAGTTCTTATTGTTTTGTACCGAACTCTCCAAGACACTGTACCGACTACGATTTTAGCGTACCGTTACACCCCTAGTGTTTACAGAGTGCTGTTTTAGGATAAATGTGTAGCTGTTTTTAAAGTCGTGTCGCAGCTTTTCGGGACTGATGTGCAGGTTATGTTACGAACAGACTGTTGCTGTGTCTGTTGGTCGTTCCCCCTGCAGAAATAAACCTGTCTCCTCCTTTCTGTGTGTCCTGCTCCACGGCACACGGAGACACTTGGATTCAGACACTTCATGTCATCTCCCCCCGCCCCATACACACACACACACACACACACGATCCATGTAATGTTTACTTCGTGCGGTTCATTGGAAAGCCTGTATCAAGTGCTGGATGTAGGATCATTTGAGCTCTGCCTCTGTGTGTCCTGATGTACTTCATTTCATTTCAGGGTGTGAGGAACATCGCAAGTGTGTGTCTGCAGATCGGCTACCCGACGCTCGCCTCCATCCCTCACTCAGTTATCAATGGCTACAAGAGGGTGCTTGCCGTTGCCGTGGAAACTGACATCTCCTTCCCATTGGCTGAGAAGGTAAGCTGTGTAAACTTTAACCAAAGCTGTAGTTTAGCACATTGGTCATGTTTCTACGTTCATCTTGCAGCATTTTCACAATTGCATTCAACTCAGATTTTGGTGCAGCTGAAAAATAATATTTCTGTGATTAATATCAGATTAGAACGAGATTAGCTGCAGATCCGACTCATCCAGGGCTCTTCATGGTTTAATATCCCTCATTAACACTGGGATCGACGCTCTCGCAGGCTAGGTTTCAGAGCGGCTGATGGTGCCTCTCTGTCGATCCGTCCTGCGAACAGTGACCTGTGATCAAACCTCCTCGTCTGCTGCTGGTCTGGAAGCTCATCCTTGCTGAAGAGGAGGTTTAATCTCAAACACCCAAAGTTGTGTAATAACGATAACGTCTTTGTGGTGCAGTGCTAATCACAATACAATGTTCAGTGATCCCGATGGACTCGGCAGACATTAAAGAGGGAGTAGTCGGATTCTGCTTCCCTCTTCTGCAACTTTGAGCCAATGTTGGTTACAAAAACGATTGTAAAGTTTCACAATAGAGCTACAAATTAAACTTGCGTTTCTTTGTCTTGGATTAAAGAATTTCTTAACGTGTAACTGCTTTTGAAGTCAGTTCATTTCTATTAGTACGTCGTTGATTGGTTTGTCTTTTCTTTGCAGGTGAAGGCGTACCTGGCAGACCCCAGCGCATTCGCCGTAGCTACTCCTGCAGCATCGGCTGTAGAGGAGAAATCTTCTGCCCCCGCCGCCAAAGAGGAAGCTACAAAAGAAGAGTCTGAGGAATCTGACGACGACATGGGCTTCGGCCTCTTTGACTAAACCTTGAGTTTAAAATCAGAGTTTGTCAATAAAACTCCTGAAACTCCCTCCTGTGTCTGGATTCATGCAGAAACTGATTCGTGAATTTGGGATTACTCTGTTAACAAATAAGTTGAACTTCGTAGCGCAAATGTTACAGTAAGAGTCTGGGTACGAAATGAAAAAGCAAATCGTATTGAGTCCTGATCCATACTTCCAGATCTTTTGTAAAAGCACTGGTTCTGTTTAAATTAGCAATGCTAGGAATTCTGACTCGAGTTATTTTAAAATGAGTTGTGTTCCACAAAAGCTTTAATTCAGGGTTAACCACCAAGGCCATCTTGAACACCTCTAGAGAGGGCCCTTCACGCATCGGTTCTATTCAAATGGGATTCGGAGGAAGTCTTACCATTTTTAAGAACTTGGCCATAAACATTCCAAGCACTAGCTGGAAACAGTAACAAAATAACAAGCACAAAGGGAATATTGTCCGTAACTTTTTAATTACAATGAAAAATATTGTGCTGGTGAAGCGTTTAAAAATAGAGATGAAAATCAAAATCAGGCACTCTTGATCAATTTTACCAACATCTGTGCAATCCTTTTCTGCTCCAAGATCCCTGACCCAACACTTCCACTGGAAGGTAAAAGCATCCTTAAATATATTCACCCCAAACAATCAAGAACAGAAAACCCTGAACATTATAGAAGTACCAGCAAAAACAAAATGGCGTTTGCTGATTATTAAACTACACAGACTCATGATTGGAGCGAAACTGGACTTGGAGAAGCAAGAAAATCATACCTACATCACAGCATATGATGCACCATCCAGTTTCAGGAACTCAAAGTATTCTCTAATCTACTTTAAAATCAACCAAAAACATTACCTTTTCTTCATATTGAGAGTAAAAGCTCATGTCCTGTTATCCTGTGTTCAGTTGGTAGAGCATTGCACTAACAATGTAAAGGTCATGGGTTCGAATCCCAGGGAAAGCAAGAATGTGTTCATTCAAATATAAGTCGCTTTGGATAAAAGCATCTGCCATAAATGAAATGTAGGAACTAATCAAATCTTTGTCCACAATCTGTTTTCTTTACAGTTCAGATTGTGAACAGCTCAATCCTGGAGCTTTGGGATGATACTACCGTCAAAAAATGTGTGAAATTTGCCGCTGATTGAGAGAACACCATCTTTACACCATGAGCACTTGTGTCGTTCCTTTCCAGTGAGTTTTCTGATGCACTTTTAAGTGGCTTGATGTACAAAAACTCTTTCCACAGTCTCCACACTCGAAGGGTTTCTCTCCAGTGTGAGTCCTCTCGTGAACTTTCAGAGCAGACCAATGGGAGAAACTCTTTTCACAGTGTGAGCACCTGTAAGGTTTCTTTCCAGTGTGAATCCTCATGTGTGTTCTTAGTTGGCTTGACCTTCTAAAACTCTTCTCACAATCGCCACAGACGTGAGGTTTCTCTCCGGTGTGAATCTTCTCGTGATCTTTAAGAGTGGACGAATGAGAGAAGCTCTTCTCGCACTGTGAGCACTTGTACAGCTTGTTTCCCGTGTGAGTGCTCTGGTGCGTTCTCAACTGGCTCGACTGTCTGAAACTCTTTCCACAGTCTCCACACACGTAAGGTTTCTCTCCGGTGTGAACACGGTGGTGTATTCTTAAAAACTGTGGAGATGTTCTTCTTAAGAACGCGCAGATGTGCGGTTTCTCGGCTGAATGAACTCTCAGGTGTGATTTCAAATTTGAAGCCGTTTTAAACATTTTATCGCAGTGATCGCAGCTGAACGATCTCACTCCAGAGTGAACAATGCGCTGATGGTTTTTCAGTGTGCCCTTGGCCCTGAAACTCTTTCCACACTCGGTGCACACAAAAGGTTTCTCTCCGGTGTGAATCAGCATGTGTTCAGTAAACTGTCCTTTCCGAGAGAAACTCGCTCCGCATTCAGAGCACATGAGGGGTTTCTCTCCAGTGTGAATCCCAATGTGTTTGTTTAACTCTCCTTTAAGTGTGAAGCTCCTTCCACACTCAAAACAAGGGAAACACTTGTTGAATCCAGTTTGTTTCTCTGTGAAAGGCACGTCTTCTTCCTCCTTTATAACGACTGTTTTAATAATCTCATCGGCTTCGTCCACTTCAGTAGAGTCTAGAACAGACATTCAAAGACAAACGACTAAATCAAGCAGTGCATTGCTTCGAATTACTGTCGGTATGTAAACGGTGGAAGAACGCACTGACCCGTCTGCTCCTCGGTTTCTGAACACGGTTCTTCTTTTAACTCCATCTTTACATCCATAGTATTTCAGATACTAGTGTCTTGTTCTCCAGCTGAAGTAAGATGTTTCTTCTGATGAAGCTTCCTTTGACTTCGACGAGACATTTCCTAAAGGGGATGTATCGCCCCCTGCTGGGCGGGAAGACGGACAACGCGTGGATTTGAGAGAAAAGCCGGTTGGTTGCCCTGACGGTTTCAATCCGCTTATCTTCGAAACTCGCTTTTACAAAAACACCTTTCCAAATGAGAAAACAAGCACTTGCCAGAAGAAAGCACCACATGTCTCCGGTAGCTCACCATGAAGAATACACGCAGTATAATAAACACTTTCCCTGAAAGGTAAATATCCCAAAGGTTCCACACTATGGCATTTTAAAGCATTTATAATACATATTTGCATTGTATTAGCATTGCACCAATAGTAACTTTCTAAATTCAATTTTAATCATACAAAGTCTGACTCCATTCATATTTTTTTGACTTTGCAAAACGCACCATTCCTTCCACAGCCTTGCTTTCGCCACGCCCCCTGTTGACCAACCCTTGCCTGTCAGTCAGAATTCCGCAAAGACATTAACACTGAGCTGCGCTTTAAAACTGTGTTAATGCCTATTACTGTGTAATCGAGAGAAAACAGACTTTCTGATTGTTCTTCAGCACTTCCGGGTCAGGCAGCATAGAGATGAGCTGTACTAGCGATTAATCTGATTGGTCAGTGGGTGGAGGAAAGAACTCTGGGTGGTGCTTGGAACATTGAGCTGTATTCAGCTCACAAAAAAAACTGATGCAGGATTCCACAAACATACAGAAAAGATTCTGAATAAAACTGGAGGGAAGAGCACTCTATGATACTAAACCAAATTTAAACTTCAGCTTATCGCAGCTGAACGATCTCACTCCAGAGTGAACAATGTGCTGATGCTTTTTGAGATGTTTCTTTCGAATCAAACTCTTTCCAGAATCAGTGCACATGAAGGGTTTCTCTCCAGTGTGACTCATCATGTGTTTATTTAATAATCCTTTCCCAATCAAACTCTTTCCACATTCCCTACACATGAAGGGTTTCTCCAGTGTGAATAACTTCTAAGGGTGAATCGCTCTCCGCAGGAGAAAGGTTTCTTGACTTCACATTTCAACTGGTTTCTTCGAGGAATTCTCTTCTTCCTTAACGACAGGTGTTTTTTGATTCTCTTTAGTGTTGTGCATGTCGCACACATCTATAAGCAAAATAACATCAAAATCAATATAAGAATGAGAATGACTATAAAAGCAAAACATTTGCTAATCATAAGTGTTCTGGGAATCCCTCAGAAAACTATTGAATGAAATAAAAGAACTACAAAGAACCTGTCAGTTTACACCGCAGAGATGGCAGCAGTGATGTTAAATGATCTAGGGAAGCATGCAAATATACTTTGAGGTGAGTTTGATTGCTTGGTTACCAATAATCAACTGCTGTCTGAATTACAAGCTCAGCCAAAGAGCGCCTCCAGAGACAGGATTGAGTCTAGCTACAGGTCAAGGGAAGGTACAGACACATTCATGTTGCATCTATCATATCCAAATGAAAGGAGTATGGAACCACTAGGACACTTTCCGGAGCTGCTTGCCGGGGGAAATTGGCCTTTTTTGGGGGGAGGCCGACTGCAGTATTCTTCTGTGGAAAGAGATGAACCTTCCAGAAGGATAACGCTCTTTGAAGCACTTGGGAGCCTCTCCATGTAGTTTCTCTGCAGTGAAGCATGGTGGTGGCAGAATCATACTGTGGGGATACAGTGCTGTAAATACTTCTAGCTGCACGTCTCCATGAACCACGACAGGTGCTAACAATACAATATAAAAAAAAAAACATGAATACGTAGACACAATGGATGGTTAAATGTGAAGGGGTGTGCAAATGTTTAGTGCGTATCTGAATGTGAACAATGTTTTTTCACATGATAGTATAGGCCAGAAGATTGTGTAAAATTCTTCCCACACGACGGGCACTGATAAGGTTTCTCTCCTGTGTGAATCCTCTGGTGTGAATGTAGTGAGTTTATGTGACTAAAACTCTTTTCACACTGAGAGCATGTGTATGGTTTCTCCCCAGTGTGCATCCTCTCATGATAATTTAGCGACGATAAGCGGCTGAAACTCTTCCCACAGTGCGAACACTTGTATGGTTTCTCTCCGGTGTGACTCCTCAGGTGTGTTTTTAATACACTTGATGTTACAAAACTCTTTCCACAATCTCCGCAGACGTAGGGTTTCTCTCCGGTGTGAGTACGGTGATGAACTTTTAAATGCTGTAGATCTGAAAAGCACTTTCCACAGGAAGAACAGACGTGAGGCCTCAGACCAGAGTGAACTTTAAGGTGTCTTCTTAAGTTGCTGTTGTGAACAAACGTTTTGTCGCACTGATCACAGCTGAACAATCTCAATCGGGTGTGAACAAGCTGATGGTTTTTAAGACTGGGTTTAGACCTAAAACGGTTTCCACACTCAGTGCACGTGAATGGTTTCTCTCTAGTGTGAATCTTCATGTGTTTAATCAATGTTTGTTTCCGAGGGAAACTAGAGCCACATTCAGAGCAAATATAAGATTTGTTCACTCCATTATTTTGTGGTTGTTTCTCCTCCATCTCTGAAAAAAGTTCCTTTTTGAAATGTGCTTGAAAAAGATTCTCTTCGACTTCGTTGGCTTCCACTGAGTCTAAAACGAGAATTTAAAGCATAAATAAAACAGAGAACATAGTTTTAGACCTTGATTTACAGAAATGGCTAATTAGGACAGTGAAGGGAAACTCTGACCTATTTGTTCCTCCGTGTCTTCTTGCTTTATTCCGCGTGGTTCTTCCTTCATCTCCATCAATACTGCACTTTATCATTCGTTTCTCCAGCTGTGATTCTTTTTCTCACTGCTCCTTCTGCTGAACTTTTCGCGTCTTCTCCTTCTTCTGGGTTGTAATATCAGCTGATCCTCTAAGTGTGCATTACTGCCCCCTGCTGGACGGGAGGATCCAGATAAATTTGTAGCTTGTGATTTCGCTCACGATTGTCAATACACTGAAAAAAACGTTCTTTTCTAAACCACACTTGTAGTGCAGGTTTTTTTTTTTGTTCAAAACAACCCTTTAATGTTCACAAACGTAACCCATGCATTTTTTTAAAGTCACGTTTATTACAACTAAATAAATGACAGCTGAACTAGTAACAAACTAGAACTTACAACGAGAATCGAAAGTCAATCCCATGATGCATCATGCCCAAATTCACACGATGCATTTACATTTATGTATTTAGCAGATGCTTTTATCCAAAGTGACTTACAGTTCGGGAGTAAATGCAACAAGCAGATTCTTACAAGGTTATTTAATCACAGGACGTGCACAAAGAAGAGGCTCCAGCCGATTCAGAATTAATAGAGTGCTTGAGAATTTTACTGTCAGCAAGTGTTTCTAGCAAGTGAATATATTTAGAATCTGGTTGGTTTTCTGTTATTGGAAAGAAGAGTATGATTAGGAAAGTTGACTTCATGCAATAATGTGAAAAACACAAAACAACATTGAAGATAAATAAATAAACATGTAGAAAATATTAAATATGACACTAATCCAAAACACCAGACCAGATGAACTTCGGAACCCCCCACTCTCCCCATTATCTTAGGATGTGCAGCATTATAAACAGGAACTAATTTCTGCTTAGAGAGCATTTATACAGGAACATGAAC